GCTTTTGCAATCACGTTGATTGAAGCAGGATTTTTGCGCGGAACACTGCTGGTGTCAACCATCCGAGCGGATCAAATAAACGCGCGATCTCCGAGAAAATCTTCCTCTTGGTGAATTTTTCAACGGAGCGGCTCTGAATTGAAAAGGTGAATGTATCGTCGATCGGATGCCACTGCAAGCCCAGCATTGCATGACTCCCCCACGGCAAAGCAGCGAGACGAGGATCCGCCGTAATGCCGACGAAAATTGTAGGATGATTGGCAGCCCATTTTTTCAGCGGGAACCCGCCATGCACAGCTGACGGAGCTCGGATTGCTTCGCGATTGTCTCGTCTTTAGTGTGTGCTCTGGTCATGATGTCGACGTAGTAGTTGTGTCTCAGTACGGCGGAACCTCGCGGAAATCTTGCGTTTTCGTCGTCGGCGAGCTGACGAAGTGTACGGATAGCGAGAAATGGCGCGCACGACAGACCGTATGTCACCGTGTACAATCGATACTCGCGAATCGGATCGTTGAGTGAGTGACGCCAGAGAATGCGTTGATAATCTCTGTCCTCAGGCGCCACAAGAATTTGGTGGTATATTTTTTCAATGTCCGTCACGATCGCGTATCAGTGCCGCCATCAGCACATGAGCGATGGCAACAAGTTAGCGCCGACTAATAGCTGAGTATTTAGTGACTTACCGGACCTTGTATTCTGAGATCCGTTGAAGACTACTCTGAGTTTGGTCGACGCGCTCGTTTCTCGGAGCACTCCATGATGAGGTAGGTAGCATTTTGCTTGTGAATCCGATAACTTTGGCACTAACTCTATGTGATTCAACTCTTCGTATTCTTTTAGAAAGACGTGATATAGGAGTTCGAATCGAACGTCGCGTTCGCACCGTCGCTCCATGGCGGTGAGCAGTCGCTCGGCTGATTGGCGAGTGTCACCGAGTGCTGCTGGTGGCGCGGCAAATGGCAGTCGCACGACGTACCTTCCTGTAGCGGTGCGGCTGTGAGTTCGAGCAAAGATTTCCTCGCATCATTGCTCGTCTCGCATGATGTACACTGGGGCGGAAGATTCCTTTTCTTGCTCCCAAAAAAACGTTGCGCTCGTGTTGTTTTTCGAACTTCGTCCACAGTTAATCGAGAAACGCTGAGCGGGTTTCGACGGAGTGGAAAGTGATGTTGGCCATCCCCATCTTCTTTAAATTGGCCACTGATCTGGCCATGCGACCGTGGATGTCACTCTGAGCGGTCAGCAAGGTATTCATTTCGTCAATCATAATTTCACTTACTTACGTTCTCTTTCTATTCCTTTAGATAATACGCGCACTGAACGCGATGGTATTCCCGAACGAACGATAAATTCGGCGAAGACGAATCCGGTTCGAAGGATCAGTAATGTTCGAGAGCGAGTTAAAGCGAGAGCGGTAGCGAGAAAATTTTGTGTGAGACGTTTTAGCTGAAGTTCGATTTATGCGAATTCTTGATCGCGAATCGGACGCGACGGTTTTCTGGCGGCGGAGCGTCTCCCAAGCGATTGCATTTGTAGCAAAGCGTTGACTCTGACCGAGAACAGCGAAGAGAAACATTGCTGCTCGATTTTGCCTTTTATCCTCTTTGAAGGACAAAGGCTTCCTTTTATAATCGTCTATGAGATTCTCAAAAAATTGAAAAATTTCAGATGATCCCCTGTTTCGGACAGCGATTGGCGATTTTCGAGCGCGATGGCCAAGCGGTATGCTATTGCCATGCGCGCCCGATAAATTAGGAATCCTGATTGGGGTACGCATGTTACGCGTTCGCGTCACGCGAGCGCGCGTGCGCTGCGACTGATCTAAGTTAGCTTGCCGTTATAGTGGTTGAAACGACGTACGACATGCGACTTAACTTCGACTTTATTGACGATGTGATGGCCAAGTTTGTGTTTTGGAAACCTCTAAAAACACTTGGAATTCTTCTAGAAGCTTCCGATCCACATGTCGCACGTACACCGAATCTGCAAAAAATTGTCTGTTTCGCTTTGTCTCGAACAATGTATATATAGCAAAATGTATATTTTGTATTGCATCATCGCATTACCCTGTCTATTTTGTTTTACCTGCGTAAATAATAATAATTCTGTTTTGCATGAACATTTTCAAAAACGTGTTTGGGTAATTTATTATAGAACAATATTATCGCTAATAGTTGTATTAAAATAGTTGTATTTATTATATAAATTTCTTCAAAATGTTCATTCCTGTACAACTGATGTATAACTGATTATATATGACAATAAGAGTTTACATGAGTATATTGTGCTTCTTTGGAAAATAAAATTTATTATAAGTCTTCTCAGCTAATCAAAATTGATAATACGTTACCGAATAATTCATAATAAGTCAATTTTTGGATAGTTAATTTTTCCACTTCTGTGTTCATTTATTGGGCACTAATAATTATAAGATATCTTTCAGTTGTCATATCTTTCAGTCGTGCCCAATAACTTAACAAAGAAGTGGAACATTAACCATACAGAAATTGATTATTCGATAATTTGTCAATTTTAGTTAACTGGATTAATAATAGTCAATTATTTTCGAGACAATAGTCGACATTTAGATTTGATTAAAAAGTCGACTCTTGATTTCTCCAGTCTACTTATAGTCGATTACAGTAGTCGTACAGTACTCTTTTTTAGACATTCGTCAAGTATTAGTCGACTATTAGTCGACATTCGGGCTGACTTTCAAGTCGACTCTTGACTTCTCCGATCAACTTATAGTCGACTTCGTGTTGGATTATGTACAAAATTTACATCCATCATCACCATGCCAACGAATTGCGCCGCATATCGCTATAGTAATGTACCGTAACAGTGTTATCTCTCCCTCTTATTCTCTCTCTCGTTATATTGTTGATTCAAAAAAGATAAAGATTGGCCATCTTCCATCTTTCTCTCTCATTTTTGTCGACCATACTACTTAGATACGATCGAGCAGTCTATGCTCTACGTCTTTGATCCACATAAACTTACATAGCCGCATAAATGTATGCATAAAGAAAATTATTATATAATTATAAATCACATTTTACGTGCGACTTTGTAAGAGAAATACGATTGAATAATTTTCTTTATGCGTATATTTATGCGGCTATGCAAATTGTGTATATACCATTGTGGAGCCACGCGAATTCCCTTTAAATAGAACATCAATCTAAATTTATTCCAGGCGTCTAAGGCAGGTCCCACACTACATTGCCTTACTGATGAATCTAGTAGTGTGGGACCGGGACGAAACGCCGCGGCCGACCAAAAAGCTTCGAGTCAGGCCTTCTTAGTGGACATGAACATAGTTTTCGTACAAACATCCACATCATAAAGCGGAGAGCACAGTCTCTTGCATAATGCATAACACATGAGGCATAAAAAAATGAACCAATCAAAGTGCTCTATTTCCTTCCTTTCCGTAAGATAAAGGATTCTGATTGGTTGATTTTCTTATGCTTTATGTTTTATGTGTTATGTAAGAGTCTGTGCTCCCTGCTTTACGGTCACTGTTACGGAATTTCGTATACAATAATTCTGTGCAATAGATTCTACGACCGTTATAACCTTCTGTTGTAGACAGCGTAATTAAGCCAGCGTAAATTAAGCCAGCGGCACACGATGCTCGTTTTCCTGCTGGATTGAATATTGCCACTGTATTGGCTACGATGCTGTCAGTGCAGAGTACACTTTTCTTTCGATGAGTTTCGGAATGCAGCCTATTCACGAGCGATTAGTTCTTATTTGTGGATGAAAGAAGAACCAATCGCTCGATGAGCACGCAGCATTCCGAAACCCATCGAAAAAAGGTGTTGCAACCTTTCTGTGACCGACTGTACACGGAATCAAAACGACGGAACGGATTTCTTATTAAAAAAATTGAGTTTACTACAATTCCATTCCATGAGAAATTCCTTTTCCCGTCCCATGTAGCCGGAATGGAATGGAAATGAACGAAATGTCGTTTCAGTCACAAGCTAAAAGCCAATTTCATTAACACTAGTTAACTTAATCGGCCATTGACTGACCAATCGCGTGTGTTTTGCTGTTTAGTAGAATCGACCAATTGCGGTTGACAGTTAATACGATTAAGCTTGATCGGCATTAGTGAAACCGAAATTAGTTTAATTTAATCGATATTTTATTATTTTAATGGGATTAAAGCAGTAATATGCATAATTTGTGCAATTATCTTATTTATAACTTTATTTCAAATACTCAAAAATACTGAATTATAAGAATAAAATATATTTTGTTACCAAAATTCCAGTGCGTTCCGGCTATATGGAATGGATAGAGAAATTTTTAAGGGGTTCCGTACAATAAAAGGAACAGAGAACAGAGCATAAGAATTTTAACCTATCAGAAATCATGTATTGTGGAATATACAGTTTCTGATAGATTAAAATTCTTATTCTCTGTTCTCTGTTCCCTGTTTCTTTTATTGTGCGAAGCCTCTTATGGAACGGCATGTTCAGCTGAGTTGGTTGAATCTAAAAATTGAATATTCAGAAACTTTTTTTGTAAATCTATTGGGTCATCTAAAAACCGCGGATACTTTTTAGATGACCCAATACAATGATAGATAAAGAAGTAGTATTATTACTAATATTAAAATTATTGCGAAAGGCAAGAAATGTGCTAAGTTGGCGTGCTATTCCGGTATGTAATAGCATTTTTCACTGGCAGAACTGGTGCGCACTCAGTGCGCATTAAAGCTGTTGTACATTAACTTAGGGGCTTCGCACGATAAAAAGAATAGGGAAAAGAGAACAGAGAATACGAATTTCAACAATCAAAAATCATGTATTGTGGAATACACAGTTTCTGATAAATTGAAATTCTTATTCTCTGTTCTCTGTTTCTTGTTCGTTTTATTGTGCGGAGCCCCTTATTCTGACTGTAAAAGTGAGAGATCTCAATTAATAAAATATCTAATATATTTTATCAAATAGCATAATAAAATGTATTAAAGGTTTTGTGGTTTAATTCATTTCTATATTTTTATTAAACGTACATCTTTATATCGATTTGCGTACAACGGCTTTAAAGTGCATAGAGTGCGCATAGCTCTGCCAGTGAAAAACGCTATAAGAATATGCGAAAATTTTATTTTGCTTATAACTTTCTATTGCAACAGTAGAAATATACAAGAAAATGAAAATTCTGGTTATAGTCTATGGTTCGTATTTTATTAGAATGCGCTTACAGCGATGTTAGCGCGCTAACATGCTATAATTTACGTTACGTATACTATAGAATTTCAGAGATACAAGCGCGCTTTTATCGATAAAAGCGCGTTCTAAATACGGACCAATGTTTACACAAAGAACAAGGCATTTTCAAGACGCAAGTGTTGACAATTTAGTCGTTGAAATGCAAACGATCGATCATGAGATCTCCAATTATTTCAGAATAACATTGGAATTATTTGAAGAATTGTTGACATCAATTGAATTACGTATGTATAAGAATATGTTGTATTAAAAAATAAGAATTATTATTAATTTTCTTCGAAGTTGTCAAATTCTCAACCACATCAATAATAGCTGTATCAACATAGCCTGCAATCGACATGACATTCTGTTGATTCAATGAGTGCATTCAGAATGACAATCGCTCACTGAGCGCTCAATAAGCTCTTTCGTCTGATTGACATATTTCATTAGATCCTAAAATATAAACCAATCAGATAAAAGAGCGCTTAATGAGCGGTTGTCATTCTGAATACACCCCATATTGTCTTTATACTGTCAGTATATATAAGAACAGTAGTCTCATATTGAAAATTGCGCATGAGCACCTACAAGAGCAAAAATCTTAGGGAATAGGGGAACTGATTTGATACGCCATGTTAATAATCGCAGAAATGTTGCCTCTATTTATGGCTGAATGAAACTACTGTTTTTACCTATACTGTGATATCGTTCTAGCCATAATTTCGATGGTTTCTTTTTACAGTAGAAAAACTTCTTACAGAATGGAGAGTACTAGTGAACTCATTTCTAGTAAAAAATCTGTTTCGTCGTTCCGATTCCGTATATGGGATGGCACTATCAGTATTGCAGCCAATACGGTGGCAAGATTCTAATCCTGCTAGCAATCCAGCAAGAAAATAAGCATCATGTACTGCAGGCTATAGGCCTGTTCTACAATAGAATCGTAAGTAGTAAGCCGTAAGAAATTAACCAATCATAGTCGATTATTCTTCTTACACTTAATTGTGATTGGCCAATTTCTTACAGCTAACGGCTTGCCACCCTATTGTAGAACAGGCATTAATGCGAGGTCTACAAATCGTAGAGTGAAATCACACGGTGCAGAAAACTACTACGGAATAGAGAATGCATCATTGAAACAACCAATTAGCACTATTCGGAATAACGCAGAATAATGCTGATTGATTGCTTCTATGACGCATTCGTTTTCAGCACCATGTGATTTCACCTTAACGATCGTAGGATCTTGAGTCGTAGAAAATTGACCAATCATAATCGATTATTCTTCTCATATTCGACTGAATGGTTAATTTTTTACGACTTAAGACTACGACTTCTGTTATAGACCCCGCGTAAAACTTTCCACAAAATTTCTTCAAGCTTTTGTTGTATTCGTTAACTGATGTTTCATCGGTGGATATTCGATCAATAGTTCAATGCCGATTAAAATATTTACATTTTGTTTTATATCAAAATTAAAACTAATTCAACATGAAAATATATATTACAATATTATTACAATAACTTTAATAAGTATTACACAACTGCAACGAGTCCGATGTAATGTATCGATAATATCTCGACAATCGCCAAATAATAAACTAGAAACAATAGTATAACATTTCTTTTTTCTTTATTAAAGATAAGCAGATAAATATTTATTCTTATGTCACAATACTGCGATTATTACATTTTCGGAGTTAATTCTTGGATGTGTCTCGTGATAAATAAATTTCATCTAAAATGATTCTATTTCAATCAAAATCTTCTGAAAAATGTACTTATTAATCAACTATAAATACAATGTACCATCTAAAAATTTACGAATGCGCTTGATTTTACTTTGCTTTTCAATAAAGCCTCTTCATGGATTTCTATACGCGCATGTACATATGCATGCGTGTATATGTATATGTGTGTAAATGTTACAAGTTAATAAATGATGCTATTGTTTTTTTTTCTTTAAAACTCACTATCGCATACGTGCAAAACATTTATTGCTAATAAACAACAAATCAAAGCAATAATGCATGAAACTATAAAAGGGATGTAAGTTGAGATAATTCTCATTGCAACCTTAAAAAAATATCAAATTCTCCTGTGTTTCATGTTAAGAGCAATTCTAAAAAAAAATACACTATTACATATTATATTCACAGCCTATATATACATTGTAATTTTTTCATCTATGTACAATCTCGATTTCATCATTCAATAATGTTAAAAATTGTACAACATTGTCTTTTCATTCTTTTTATAGCCAGTTTATCTTTAAATCAAATTTTCCAATATCTATTAGCACAATAGCATTCGACAGACCTCTTCACTAGTAATGTCGTTAAATTTGCCGACGGATATTTTTGCATGACGATGATTACTCATTTTCTCTCGTTCCTTGCAGAAACTTTTGTTCCAACCTTTGTCGCTTTTAAAAATATTACTTCTCGTTTTCATGCATCACTGAAGTGTTTGTGGATTGCTGAGTGGTTTATATCCCTATATATAATAAACAGTTCATATATTAGTAATAGATCGATATAAATTTTTTTAATAAGTAGAAAAAATAAAAAAAGTTGTCTGTTATTAAAAAAAATTTCATGTTGATGTTTTTTTTCGTTTTTATCAGATCAAATCTGCGACAGGCAAATCAAAGCATAAGAAACCAACAAAAAACTGAAAAAGAAATAAACCATACTGCATTTAAAAAGCAACAGAAAGAGATGGCAATAGAGATCACATAGCTTCGTACAGCCCGTATGTTTTAATGATTCATGCTGCCGTAATAGCGTACGCTTAGCTGCTTGCTGCCAAGTCTTACAGTGTTATTAAATGAATCCCGTAAACGTTCTGTAAACGTTTTATACTCCATCTCTGGATTACTTTGTCCAAAATCAAAGTCCGCGACTTCTATCGTGAATCTCGCTCTACTTTGGATATAATACGCCACGCCGAATACTATCAGCACCACAGCAACAACTGAGCAAGAAACTGGCACTACGATAACCGATAACTGCGGTTTTGTTGTTACTGTAAGAAAGTTAATGTGAATATTATCATTGTGTATATCCATAAATTACAATACTTATAGCGTTTTCTTTTGGCTGCACTAGTGCATACTGAGTGCATGTTAAAACCGTCACAAATTGACATAAAGATGTATGTTTAATGTAAGTATATAAAAACAGATTAAGCCAATCGTCAATATATTTTATTGTGCCGTTAAGTAAAATCTGTATTTTATAATTCAAAATATTTGAATTTAACTTTTACACCATTTAAATCAGTGTACAACAGTTTTAATACTCAGTGTACACTAGTGCAACCAAAAGAAAACGGTATTAGTAAAGATATCGCAGTAAAGGAATTTACCTTTATAAATGTTTATCGTTAGTGGATAAATCTGTGTACTAACTTCGTTGTTTAGTATGATTAATATTGTGTAAACACCAGGCTCAAGAAAATAATGAAGAATGGAAAAATTGCACGAGGGCAAATCAGGATTTACATCACACGTTTCATTTCCCGTTGCATTGTACTTTCCACGGTGAAATTGAAGACACTTAGAAAACGGACCCGATCCCTTGCAAGTTATATTCAAAGATAGCATGTCCCATGGTTGGATCCAATTCGTACCTTCCACTGAGATATTTGACACGGGAGCTGAAGATATTTATTAAAAAATTAAAAATTATAAAAGTTCTAAATATCAATAAAATGTCAATTGCATATCTTACTAACCACGAACATGGATTTTCTTGTAAAAGTATCCATATGTTTTCTTAGGATCTGGTGGAATGAGAGATGTATTTGAGCAAATGTATGGCAACGATATGTTGGTAGGTTCTATCGTGCTTGTATTAATTGGAAGTGCAATTGTAGACTTCATTGGAGGTTTTACACTCGTAACAGTTATCGGTAATGTTATTACTGTGACAAGAGTCCCATTCGACTTTGTGGTAGTAATATTGGGTGCAACTGTTGTCACATTAACAGGTGCGACCGTAGTTGTAGGTGCTATAGTTGTGGTTGTTGGCGGGTCGTACGAAGCGATCACTAAAGCTCCTACTTCGTATGTTATACCAGGACTTGTAAAATTATAAACGAAAGCAAAATCATTTGTCTGACCGTAATACTTGCAGTCAATAAACCAATACGTCAATATCGTTGTTGCTTTCTGCATTATAAAGTCGTAATCTCCTTTTCGCAAGTCTATCATTAGTTTGGTTTCATTTGTAGAGGAGATATATTCTCCCGCTATGGTTTTATTAGCTTGTTTCATGGCTATATTACCATTAAGAGATTCTGAAATTAAAGCAGATAATAAAATATAACATTTGACAGAGAAATAGTTAGAAAAATTTCGTCAACATCAACAAAGTTTACCAGAAATTTCGAACTCAATACGAGCACTTGCATAAAATACCCAAAAAATTGAATAAGTAAGATGTTTGACTTCTAATTCCACTGTATAGTTTCCAGGAATGTTGTTTTCACGTGGATAACTTATGCTCCAAAATGTTGTTGTATTTGACGTTTCTTTGCTCTAAAATGTTACAGAGTACATAAAAATGATAACACATTATAATATTAACATAAAAAATAAATGATCCATGAAACAAATTATAAAATTAAATAATATTAAATATTTCCTACATTCAAGAATTTTTTATGTCAAAGAACAAATGAAATAACTGAATATGGCTAAAAGTAATAATGGTTATGTTTAGCAGAAAAAGCTTTGCAATTATTGTAAAATTCTTTAATATGATTATCTTATCCTTACTAAATCAAAATGTATAATCATATTAAAGAAAAATAACAATTTGAAAGTACAGTTGCTTTTTCTGCTGAGAATACAGTTAATTTTAAATGACAGTTTATATTGTAACATAACTAATGAAAAATATTGTAACCTCATATTTATGTTTCATTAATGAATTATCGTTCCATATGTATATGAAACTATCTTTTGGTCGCTTGCCATCTCTGTATACATCTGCTCTGAAAGTGATCGTCCCACCCAGTACAACTGGTCCATCTTGTGACAGTTGAACATAGTCCTTGGCAATAACTGAAAATAAAAAAAAATACTCTTGATTAAAAATGGTGACGCAATGTCACTTATTACAATTGACATGTACAAATAAAAAAGTGTTGTGACATACAGAGAATAGAAGAAATATTGATGTAACAATAATAACACGAAATGACATGAGAAACGTGCGTAATTAGGCATAATCAAGAATGCGTTATTACCTTGTAGGAAACACCAAACACCCCAAGCGAGATGGCAATAAAAATGAGCCGTTTGCATTCTGTATATTATTATTATTGTTGTTGTTATTGTTATTATTATTATTATTATTATTATTATTATTATCGGAGCGCGTCACACATTCGCGAGCGCTTTTAGATTACTTCGACATTCCTCGGAAAACGATAATCTTTCGAAAATTCCTCACTGATTTTCATTTGTATTCACTGATATCACCATTTTACCAATGATTAATATCAATGATAATCAATGCATAAGTATATGAGTGATGTCATAAATGTCATGAATAATACTTATAGCAAATTCGACAGACTGCACTAGTGCGCACTGAGTTAGAACTTTTTCAGTGTCAGATATCCAGGAGTGCGTTCGGATTCCCCACTCGGGTGTCACCCAACATCCAAAGACCTACTTTACATCGGATGCTTTCCATTTGATGACATAAGTCGACACAAGCATCGTTTTTTTCTATCCTTTTTGACATTCAGAGAGTGACAAAAATAAAATGATACTTGTGTTGACTTGTGTCAACTTGTGTCATTAAATGGAAAGCACTCATCCTGCTTGATACAAGTACTAATTAGTAACTTCCTATTAAATGATAATCTTAAGCTAATTCCAAAACATCTTTTTCGAGGAAAATTTTACTCGAAATATATATGACATGTAATGTATACTACAGCATTTTGAATAAAATTTTCCTCTATACTGCACATAACGTAAACTGTAGCATTTTCAGTGCTGGCTGTAAATTTGGAACACGATCTTGGAATGTAGTCTTAGACCTGTTCTACAATAAATCGTAAGCGGTAAGCGGTAAAAGATTAATCAATCATAGTCGATTATACTTCTCACGTAACTGATTGGTCAATTTCTTATGGCTTACGACTTGAGACTCTATTGCAAAACAGGCATTAAGTCTCACCAACTCTGACTAATCTAATCGATCTAGAGACCCTATAGTAAATATAACAAAGATTCGCAAAGTGTCACGTGATCGAGATATTTTTCTGATTGGCTGGAATAAAATTTATAATAGCTGCATATTGAATTTACTATCAATTCACTCAACATCGATTCCTGTCGACTGCTATGGAACGAGGTTAGTAAATTCATCCTTCAATGTTTTGTGAATATTTATCTATTATTTCACGCATTGAATGTTGCATACCTTATGTACAGAATTTACATTCCTCATCGCCATGCCAACGAATTGCGCCACATATCGCATAAACGTATGCATAAAGAAAATTATTCAATCAATTTATGCGACTATGCAAGCTGTGTGGATATATCCTAAGGGTTCACACCTTAAAACGAAATGTAAAACGAAAAGCGGAAAAGCGGAAGCCAATCAGAACTCGCGGAAAGACAGAACAGACAAATAAAATGTACCGCCTACTACTACTGCGAGTTCCGATTGGCTTCCGTTTTTCCGCTTTCCGCTTTTCCGTCAAGGTGTGAACCCGGCCTAAGGAATACGGTCCATTTGGCTACAAATATTTCAAAGCTAGAGTCCCTATAAGAGAATCGCATCAATCTTGTCAAAATTTTCATTGGCTTTAAAGTAAAATGGCAGAACCAATCATCGATGCTATTATATCCCCTTTGAGTCTCGTGAACGAGGTGATTTAGATTTTAGAAATTGTGAGAATAGAATTTAAATTATATAATATTGACAAGTTAAATAATATAATATTGATAAGTTAAATTATATAATATTGACAAGTAGAATTTATGTTAAATTACAAAATATTGACAGAAGTAGATCTGTTTTTTATAGCTAAATTAGAATAGTCCTTATTAATGTGCCTTTTAGCTAACTTGCTTATTATTGAATTAATTATTAAATATTGCTGCTTTAATTTTATCTACTTGCAATCAATGTACACTCATAACACAACGTTCTTAACTCCAGGGTACATTAATAGGGACAAGCTTAAAATCTTGCAGTACGTATTGCTAGATTCACATAAATTCCTCATATCTTTTGAAAAATATTTAAAATATTTTAATACTCAAAAAATAAAATATTATCTTCGGTATTATATGCATTAATAATTTAACTTAACAAGAAAAAATATTTTTTTTTATTTATTCGTACTAGTTTTTTATGATTTATCGAAATACAAAAACACACTAATAAAGACAGGCACAGTAATTGGAACAGTTACCCTAGTTTTACACCTTTAAAACTGAAATAGCAATGATACGAAACAATAATGAAATAACACTTTCATTTAACTTTTATTTTACAATAAAATGTCTTGCAATTGTCAAATTGCTATATACTAGTAATTTTAAACAATATTTTAACAATTTTTTAACAATATATTTTAATCATGTTTTAGTCATGTTTTAATATGTTTTCTGCGAAGGAGACGTTAAAATTATTGATAATTAATTGATAACAAGGTTAAAATATCATTTTCGACGCTTTCCTATTACATAATATCTGTATCTTTTATATATTTTTAATTCGAAATCTTTATAATAATGTATAAGCTTACCTATTTATAATTTTGATACATCTAAAATAATATCACTACTTTATTAATCAAAGCTTCCACCTCTACGCTCTAGAGTAAGTAATAGAGAGTCTAGCACCATTCTCTAATAGAGTCCCTGTTAGACGCTATTTTACTTCACATTGACTCGATTTTTTTATAAGCACTCTATTCGAAGCATTTAATTGACCAATTGAAAGAAAGAATTGACTAATTGACTTCTGAACAAGAAAAAGAAGATTTTACTAATTGACCAATCAAAAAATGCTTCGAAGCATTTGTAGCGTCAAATGAATCGTAGCCTAAGTTAATCAGAGTTGATGAGACTAGCTCTTAATTTCGGCGATACGTGTAAACATATACGACATATTTAATTAATCATTTTAATACATATTGTACCAATTTACTCGTATTAATTACTATGTGGTTTATTGCCGTTGCTCTATTCGTTTCTCTAAATGATCCTCCATTCTCGATCACGTACCGCCCCCTTTGTCATTCTCGCTGAGCTGCCGGTTACGAGAACTGTCGAGGTTCGCAGTTCTGTAGAATATCCCGATTAATTTTGATAAAGAGTAGTACGCTCATTCGTGCCTAGTGTCCAACTATCGGTTCCGAGATCTTACTTTGCACACAGAACTGGCCGCTTAAAGACAAAATTTTCCATCGCGTTCCTTTGAATACCAGATGAATCCTCGTTGTATTGGGAGTGTGCATTAATTTTAAAGGATTTTTTGGTAAAAATACGGCTTTATTGTGAAAAAATGATTACAAATTGATCATTCAAAATATTGTCCAAAATATTGTTCATAACTAGCCACTACTTTTTTCCATCTTTCTGGTAATAGGTGGATTCCACGTCGAAAGAATGACACATCTTTTGAGGCTATCCACGAATCGACCCATTTTTTGGTATCTTCATAAGAATGAAAGCACTGCTCAGACAGGCCAGTCATCGATTGAAATAGGTGGTAATCGGAAGGAACAATATCTGGAGAATATGGCAGGTGTGATAGGACATCCCAGTTAAGTGTTTCTCACGTTTCCGTGACCAGTTTCGCAACATGTGGCCGAGCGTTGTTTACTCAAAAAATAAAATATTATCTTCGGTATTATATGCATTAATAATTTAACTTAACAAGAAAAAATATTTTTTTTTATTTATTCGTACTAGTTTTTTATGATTTATCGAAATACAAAAACACACTAATAAAGACAGGCACAGTAATTGGAACAGTTACCCTAGTTTTACACCTTTAAAACTGAAATAGCAATGATACGAAACAATAATGAAATAACACTTTCATTTAACTTTTATTTTACAATAAAATGTCTTGCAATTGTCAAATTGCTATATACTAGTAATTTTAAACAATATTTTAACAATTTTTTAACAATATATTTTAATCATGTTTTAGTCATGTTTTAATATGTTTTCTGCGAAGGAGACGTTAAAATTATTGATAATTAATTGATAACAAGGTTAAAATATCATTTTCGACGCTTTCCTATTACATAATATCTGTATCTTTTATATATTTTTAATTCGAAATCTTTATAATAATGTATAAGCTTACCTATTTATAATTTTGATACATCTAAAATAATATCACTACTTTATTAATCAAAGCTTCCACCTCTACGCTCTAGAGTAAGTAATAGAGAGTCTAGCACCATTCTCTAATAGAGTCCCTGTTAGACGCTATTTTACTTCACATTGACTCGATTTTTTTATAAGCACTCTATTCGAAGCATTTAATTGACCAATTGAAAGAAAGAATTGACTAATTGACTTCTGAACAAGAAAAAGAAGATTTTACTAATTGACCAATCAAAAAATGCTTCGAAGCATTTGTAGCGTCAAATGAATCGTAGCCTAAGTTAATCAGAGTTGATGAGACTAGCTCTTAATTTCGGCGATACGTGTAAACATATACGACATATTTAATTAATCATTTTAATACATATTGTACCAATTTACTCGTATTAATTACTATGTGGTTTATTGCCGTTGCTCTATTCGTTTCTCTAAATGATCCTCCATTCTCGATCACGTACCGCCCCCTTTGTCATTCTCGCTGAGCTGCCGGTTACGAGAACTGTCGAGGTTCGCAGTTCTGTAGAATATCCCGATTAATTTTGATAAAGAGTAGTACGCTCATTCGTGCCTAGTGTCCAACTATCGGTTCCGAGATCTTACTTTGCACACAGAACTGGCCGCTTAAAGACAAAATTTTCCATCGCGTTCCTTTGAATACCAGATGAATCCTCGTTGTATTGGGAGTGTGCATTAATTTTAAAGGATTTTTTGGTAAAAATACGGCTTTATTGTGAAAAAATGATTACAAATTGATCATTCAAAATATTGTCCAAAATATTGTTCATAACTAGCCACTACTTTTTTCCATCTTTCTGGTAATAGGTGGATTCCACGTCGAAAGAATGACACATCTTTTGAGGCTATCCACGAATCGACCCATTTTTTGGTATCTTCATAAGAATGAAAGCACTGCTCAGACAGGCCAGTCATCGATTGAAATAGGTGGTAATCGGAAGGAACAATATCTGGAGAATATGGCAGGTGTGATAGGACATCCCAGTTAAGTGTTTCTCACGTTTCCGTGACCAGTTTCGCAACATGTGGCCGAGCGTTGTTGTGCTGGAAAATCACTTTGTCGTGTCTTTTCGCGTAATCTGGCCATTTTTGCTTTAATGCTCGGTTCAATTGCATCAATTATTATTGGTAGCATTCCCCAGTGATGGTTTCGTTGGGTTGGAGCAGCTCATAATACACTA